AAGAAGAAGAAGAAGAAAAAGAAAAGAGAGGAGAGAAAACGTGAGAAGCTAGAAAAATCGACGAGAGGATGTAATGGAAACTTTTGTAACGTTTAACTAGAAATTTTCAAACCAGGTCATACAAACCGATATTTACGTACATATATTCGATCGTTTTCAAGCTTTTAGAGTTTCTACATTTACAAGTACGAGCAGAGAACCTTGTCACACATAGAGTTCGTCACCGTTCGAGACCATTTAAGAATCGAAAGACTTGTTCTCGTCACTCTTGTTGAATGTTTTCCAAACCTTCGACTGAAATCCCCGAGACAGTTCTCATAGCGTTTATTATAACAAGGCTTCTACTACGCAATGCATGGCGCAATTATTTCACGCAAACTGCTTGTTCGTTTGTATGCGAAACACCCTGACAGAGCTGCGAGAATCCGGATGTAATACAGATAATATTCGAATATCATCGTAAAAGAAGATACGAACGTACATATTATTTGGACATCAGCTTGTACAGATTTGTTGAATTCGTTTCAATCGACAGATCGATCGCGGTTGAACGAAATTGGATAGAGGAACAAATCGTCGGAAATATACCAGACGATTTAATGGCTTTATCGTAATTCTAGATTATTAATTGTTAATGGTTGACTGCAAACGTTAATCTTGCGATCGTTAGTTTTCAATCAAAGTTTAATTAACATTCAGATTTAATATAATACTGTTGATTGAAGTTGGTTGACACTCGATTCGAAGCGACTATTCTGATCGTTAATTGCAACTGTACGTCTACGTTGAGTAAAAACTTGCTCGCCGATCGTAAATTTTAATTTTTAAACCGCATGTACGTGCCAAATGTCTTGTATGCCTAATAGCGTAAGCCTCTTTTAACTGCAGCTGAATTTATCGAACAGCGTCGCATTATTTTCAACTGACTTCGCAATTCACGGATAACCGTTTTTCTGTTATCAAACGCTCGATATATTCAAATATTGTCTAAAACGAGAAACGGGCAACTACCGAAACATTGGAAATCCGGATCGAATTGGCAGGATCTGATTTGTTAAGCTCACCGATACGAAAAACACTGCCAAGCAACACTTTGTACCGAATCACATTGTACCACGCCAGAAGCGAGGAAACTGTAATTTGCCAGAGTCCCTTTTCGATATAGTAGCCGAGACAAGTAGCAATAAACCTTCGTAGCCGGTAAATCGAAATAAACTAGAGCCGAGAGAAGAAAGAAGAAAAAAAAGAGAAAGCGAGAAAACACGGGAATGAGGAAACACTCTAGCAGGGGGAAAAAAAAAAAGAAAAAAAAATACTTTTTACATATCTAGGGAAGGGAAGCTGTTTTCTGTTGTTGTTGTTTTTTTTTCTTTTCTTTTCTTTTTCTTTTCGGAACTTGAGATTGGAGACAGCTAGCGAATACCGAACGAATGCTGTTTCATCTTTTCATTGGGTTTGCCAATCGCTCTCGGACTGAGCTGCGAAAGCAAAAGCATTCGGCAAACGATGTCGGATCGATTATTGTTATTATTCTTATTATTATTATTATTGCGGACGCTGTAAATATGATAAAACATCAAATATTACATTCACGATTTTCCCTAGCATTCATTCGACAAAATTTTTCGCAAGCGTCTTTGATTTTTTTCTTTTTCCCATTTCGAAGTCGACTTTGTAATGTCATACGTGACAGGTATCACGATAGGTAGACAGCGAGAGAGAGAGAGAGAGAGAAAGAGAGAGAGAGAGAGAGATGGGGGAAAAAACGATGCGAATGATACCGAAAACTAGCGTAGACTGTCCTAGCTTGTACGAACATTTCGAACATTTTCTTACTTTTTTCCGACGTGGCGAACGCGTACGAGAAATTTTTAGGTACCTGTAATTAACATTGTTAACGACTATATATATATATATATATATTATATACATATATTATATAAATGAAACCAAGGCGCCTTCGACGACTCGCAGCACCATTCTACGAACCTTTGATAGAAGATCCGAACTCGTGGAGGAAAGATTAACGATAATTCGTTCTGCTATTAACGAAACGCGTCTCGTTGCGTTTCTCGTTGACGTTAGTTATTAACCACGTTGCTTTGTTGAAAAAAAAAAAAAAAAGAAAACGCGGCCATCCACTTCGTTTCCATTTCACTTGCTTTCAAAGATCTCCTTCGGCACGTTTCGAAGATCGTACAAGAGCCTGAGAGAACGACTTCTCTCTGTCAGAGACGAAAATTCGACAAACTTTTCGACGGTGTTGAACGAGTGGCTCAGAGAAAGGATAGTACAAACGAAGGAACCTGTTTAGTTTGCGTGACCTGACTAGTAGAAAGTCAGAGACGAGACTCCAGCGGACGAATCTGTATTGTTCATTTATTATTACGAGTTATAATTACTCTCACGAGTCTCAATGAGCATAGCAGTTTTTAGACAAATCTCTGCCGAAAGTCCCTCGACCGCGTTCGTAGAAAATACAACTTTTGCACTGAGCCATTCTCAAAACGCGTGAAACTACGTGTCGCGTAGTTATCGAGAGAGATATCAAGAACGACAATCGTTAATTACTTTTTACACGAAGCGAAAGGTCTAACGAAGTACGATCGTTAGCGGA